CATTGGAGCCATCCCGAATCCTGGATGGAGAGTTCACGGGCAGGCACGCAGATCCCCCATAACCAAGTCCTTGTCTACATGGGAGGTTTAGCCACGCTGGGGTGAGCCAGGCCTGGCACGGGAGCGGCTCACCCTGCACCCAACAAGCAACGCCCTGGCAGCTGGGTGGGGCTGGGGCAAGCTCCGGGGGCTGCTCATCGCTTCCTCTTGCTGTGCCGCAGCATTTTCTTCCTCTTGAGGATCATTTCGTAGAGTTTCTCCAGCCCCTGCTGCAGCCCCAGCCCGTCCACCGCGCTGCAGCCCTGGGTGCAGCTGAGGGTGGAGGCGCTCAGTTCGTGCAGGGCCAGTAGCTTCTCCACCTCGGAGGCCGACAGCGCCCCGGGCAGGTCCTGCTTGTTGGCCAGGACCAGCACGGGGACGCCCTGGTTCTCGGAAGTCCGGGCGATCCTGTGGAGCTCCACCCGGGCCTCCTCCATGCGCTCCGCCTCCGCCGAGTCCACCACGAAGACCAGCCCGTCGGTGCGGCGGGTGTAGGACTTCCAGAGCGGCCGCAGCTTCTCCTGCCCGCCCACGTCCCACACCTGGAAGGCGACGGCGCGGGGGCCCCCCAGCGGCACCCGGATCTTCTCCATGTTGAAGCCCTTGGTGGGCGCGCTCCTGACGAACTCCTTGAGCTTGAGCCGGTAGAGCAGCGAGGTCTTGCCGGCCGCGTCCAGCCCGATCACCACCACGTGCAGCGCCTGGAAGTGCGGCAGGAAGGGCGGCGCGGGCGCGATCTCCGCCAGCTGGTTCCCCATGGTGCCCGGGCCGGGCGGGCGGGCGGCGCTACAGGGCGCTCCGGGCTGCGGCGGGGAGAAGGGCAGCGTGAGCCGGGGGGAGGCGGGGGGAGCGGCGGGGAGAAGGGCGGCGTGAGCCGGGGGGAGCGGCGGGGAGAAGGGCAGCGTGAGCCGGGGGGAGCGGGAGGCCCGGGGGCTGCGGCGGGGAGAAGGGCGGGGGGGGCCGGGGGGGGGGGCGGGGGGGGGGGGGGGGGGGGGAGAGGGGCAGCGGGGGCCCGAGACCCCCCCCCCCAGCGCCCCGCACCGGGAGAGGCAGGCGGGGGACCCCCGGAGCAGCCAGCCCCACTCCCCGGGAGCTCGCCCCTCTGCAGACGCTCCAGGGGCCGGCTTGGGAACAGGGTCCTTCCCCCGGGGAAGGGAGAGGGCCGGGCACCCGCCCCGGCCCGTTCCCCGGGGACTGTCCCAGCTCCCCCATCCCCACGGGGGAGTTCCCCGGTGCCCGGCGGGGTCCCCGCGCCCCCGCGGGCGGGTTCGTGGGGATCCCCGGGGGGAGACCCCAGCCCTTCCCGGTTCGCTCTCCGGCCGCGCCTCCCTGCTGCAGCCCCCAGCCCGTTTACCTGCCATAGGGGCCGGGGCAGCCCGGGGTCGGAGCCTGCTCGTCCGGCAGGGACCCTCCCAGCTCCACGGAGCCGCCACCGAGACCGTCTCTCTGCGGCGCCTGGAGCCGCCGCTGCAAACTCCGGCCAGGGCGGCGGCGAGGGAGCTCAACGCCTCCGAGCCAGCCCCGTGATGTCACGGCGCCTGAGCCAATCAACGCCAGCCGCTGTGCACAGCTGGCGACAGCTGTTTGCAGCTGGACAGGAGCCCGGCGCGTAGAGCCAGCCCCAGGGGAGGACGCAGCCCCCAACTCTGCGTGAGCGGGGCGGGGGAGAGCCCGCAGCTTTCCCCGCTGCTCCACCCCGCGGGGTGAACTCTCCCGAGCCCCATCGTGTTGGGGAGGTGTCCCCTTTCCCAGTGCAGCTACTGTATATGGGAAGGAGTGGGGAGAAAGGAAAGGGACCTGACAAAACAAATAAAAAATAGGTCTCCCATTATCCCAGGCAGAGCCTTCTCCCCCAGGGGAAGGAGGCACAGGCCCTCAGCTGCAAATCTAGCTTAGCTGAGATACTAGGGTAATGGACATTACAGAAAACCCTAAAATATTCAGCATCTCAGACTGGAGGGAATATCCAGTGGGATCCTCAAGGCGCACAGGCCCCAGGGCAAAGACTTGTTTTCACAAAGAAAGCTCCTAGCTAGTGGCAGTAGCGCCCTGCTTCTTTCCTTATATTGGGGACTGTCTATAAGGACTGGCTGAGGTGCAGGTGTGCCGCCAAGCTGAGAATGAAAGGTCCCTTTGCCACTGGTAGATGCTGCTCCCCAAATGAAGATGGTGACTGTTAACAGTCAATCATGACATTAAATATGCTTCCTAGGAAGGCGGCTCCTGTTCTAGGAGGCTGTATGCTCTGAGTGACAGCTGTCAATCATAGCTGGTGTTTTTCGGTAGGCTTTCTTCCATGCTTCAGCTCCTGCAGCCTTCAAGGTAGTGATACTCACCAGGCATTTACAATGAGCCTGCTGACAGAGAACCCAATTACACAATCTTAAAAGGGTTAAAGGAATAAACTCCTGCTATCTTTGGCAGATAGTGGAAACCAATAAATACGTGACCGGGAGCATAAGCAAAGTTCCTTGCAGGCAGACGCCTGCTCACCCCTAGGCTGTGTAAACAATTAGGGAGCATCTAAAGCAGAAGGATGGTCTTGAGGCAGCGACCTGGGACTCAGGAGATCTGGATTCAGGTCCTGGTTCTGCCACAGGGTCCCTGTGAGATGTCAGGCAAGTCACTGAATCTCTCTGCACCTCAACTCCTCATCTCTGAAACGGGGATGACCCTATTTCCCTACTGCACTCTAAGGGTAAATGCATTAATGGTTGTGAGCTGTTTGGATGTCACCTAGATGGTTTTGGCAGGGCTATGTGGAGTTTCCGCTCAGCAGATTAAGATGCTGCTTCATTCTGAATGAAGCACTTGCATAGTCCATAGGGTTTCTAAATAACCGAGTTTGGATTAAATAACCCCATGTTTGAGAGACACAGAGAGGCGAAGTGACTTGCCTGAGTCTACACAGCACAGCAATAACAGAGCCAGGAATAGAACCCAGGAGTCCTGGCTCCCAATCCCTTCTGCTCTCACCACTGGGCACAATTCCCTCCCCGTGTATAATACAGCCCCTTCTTAAAACTGTTACTACTACTTATAGGAGTCACTCTAGATTTAGCACTAATACAACCCTGCCGTTCAGGCCTATGAATCTGCCAGTCGGCCTCACTCACAAGTGGGTGATGAGCTAATTTAAAGGCTGTCAATAGACTGCACTGCTATACTTATCAAGCCAAGCCAAATAGATTGTCATTGACAGGAGTAATTTAATGGGTAGCATCTAATCCTGTTGGAAGTCAGTGGTGGCTGGTTCAGAGAACAAAGAAGTGGACCTTTCACCTCCTGTGAGCCCTGTCGGCTATCTCAAGTGAAATGAGTTTTGGTAAACCCAGTAATCCACTACACTTAACTCATTAATGTGTAGACAAATCTGGCAGCCTCTAGTCAGGGATAATACCCGAGGCTGTCCATACGCAGGGACTCAATCGCTTCTGGCAGCAATGATCCTTCAAGGCTAAAAGTAGCAGTGAGGAAACAAAGGTCACCTTCCACTGTGGCAGGTCCACTTCCCTGGTGCATACACCCCAAAGAGACCATCAGTCCTAAACACCCTGTTCTATTCGTTCCCCCATTCTCTGTTCCCCTGCCCACTTCTTTCTCTCATTTCTTGCTTGTAAACTCTTTGGGGGCAGGGAGTCATTTCTTATGTCTGTAGGGTGCCTGGCCCGATGGGTCCCATCCTGTACCAGGGAACTAGGCACTACCACAATAGAAATGTTCAACAATCAGCTTTTCAATGGGACGTTTTATTGCTGTCATTTGATAGCTCTGGGGCACCGAGGAATAAAGTCGTTGTTTGTAACACCCACTCTTGGCAGACTTTGCTCTGAAGGAAGCGAGACAGGGATATGAAGGCAGAATTTACAGCACCCTTGTGAAGGCTAAGCCGCTCTTTGAAAGCCCTGGTTCCCCCTGGAGAGAGGGAGGCAGAGTTCAGTGAAGCTGCCAAGGAAATCAGATAAGTGGATTCTGCCAGGCTGAATAACTGTGCGCAGGCTGCTATGGGCAGGTGAGCGGTGCTGGCCCATGACACCCCTCCTGCATTGCCCCTTAGCGCCACTGTCATCCCCGCAAGCCCCGGGGACTGATGGCCCCGGCGGTGTGAAACCTGAACAGCCAGGTCCGAGTTCCCGAACGGGGGTGGGAGCCGGGCGGCAGCTGCCCCCACAAGCCCTGCGCAGAGGTTCGGCGGGGCCGAGCGCCCACGGGCGCTATTGCCGGGGTGGGCGCTACCCAGGCTCGGTGGGTAGGTCCCTAGCGGAGATCGGGACGGGGGAGAAAGGCCGGGCAGCCCAGCGGGGCTAGGGAGCGGCGGGGACAGGGAAGAGCCCGCCCCCCAGGCGCCCCCAGAGGCGCGCTTGGCTCCCAGGGGCCGGGGGCTCCGTGTGCGCCCCGGCTGGTCCCCGGCGCCTGCAGGCAGCGCCGCGCCCCCTGGCGGGGAATCCGTGGTGTTCTCCGACACCCCGGAACGCCGGGCGCGCAGCGCCCCCTGGCGGGGACCCGGGGGGTTCTCCGGAACGCCGGGCGCGCAGCGCCCCCTGGCGGGGGGCCCGAGGGGTTCTCCGGAACGCCGGGCGCGCAGCGCCCCCTGGCGGGGGGC